ATTCCCTGGAGAAGGATGTCATGCTTGATAGCGTGGAGGGTCGACGAAAGAGGGGGAGGCCTTCAACGAGATGGATTAACACGGTGGCTGGGATGATGCACTCAAGTATAGCAGGGATTGTGGGGCTGTCGCGGGATCGAGCAGTGTTTCGTTCTGCTGTGCATGGGGTCACTATGAGTCAAAAACGACAGCACTTAACAACAACACAATGACAGTGCTGCTTTGATAGGAATATACCACAAATAGGATTGCTTTAACAAACAGGAGTTTATTCTTACAGTTTGGAGGCTTTAAGTCCGAATTCAAAGTTCCAGGCTCTTGGGGCTGAGTGAGAAAGCCCCTTAACCTTGGGCTTCAGCTCTACCTCCTTTTCCCTGCCCACTGAAGCTGAGAGGCTTTTCTTCACTCAGCTGCTGGCTGCTGAGGCTGACAAACTCAAGGTCGATGCTATAGTTACCTAGTGCTGTTGTGACAAAAATATACCACAAATGGATGGTTTCAACAAACAGGAGTTTATTTGCTTAAATTTTGGAGGCTTTAAGGCCAAGTTCAAAGTACCAGACTTTAGGGGCTGGGTGAAAGCCCCTCAATCTTGGGGTCCAGCTCTGCCCCCTGTTCCCAGTCCACTGGAGCTGGAGAGGCTTTTCTTCACTTAGACAGCTGCTGGCTGCTGAGGCTGAGAAGCCCAAGGTTGACAAGTAAAAAGGCACAGTCTCGCTGTTAACAAACCACATGGCAGGCCATTAATTCAAGTTCATTGTACGTCACCAGAGTCAGCAGAGCATGGCAGGCTGCTGAACAACAACACGGCTACATGCAGGGTCCAATTGTGCCATATACTAGAGACCATTCCCAAAGCTGCTGCTTATATACAGGAAGCAGACCCTAAAGCAGCTACTCAACTGCTTGTGGTAGATCCCATCATGGAGTTGATTGCCAGTCTCATCATGGGGAATAACTACCACCAGCTGCCCAGCCACTCAACCAGGCCCAGCCACGTTGACACACAAACATAACCACCACAGGCAACAAGTAAAAAGGCACAGTCCCAATGTTACCAAACAACATGACAGGCCATTAATTTCAGTCCATTAAAAGTCCCAAGATCAGCAGATCGTGGCAGGCTGCTAAACAACTACTTGGCTACATGCAGGGGTTAAGTGTGCCATAAACTGGACACCGTTCCCAGAGCTGTTACTTACCTATGGGAAGTGGACCACATTCCCAAAGCAGCTATTCAGCTCTCATAGTAGATTCCACCACGGAGTTAATTACCAATCTCACCATAGAGAATAAATAACTACATTTAGCTGCCCAGCTACTCAACCAGGCCCAGCCAAGTTGACACACAAACTTAACCACCACAGAAACCCAATGGGGGTTATTATGAGTTGCAATCAAATAGATGGCAGTGGATTTGGTTTTTGGTTTGATCTTAGAGTTGTATGAAGATCAGATGAGTTGTTGTATTATCAAGTCCTTAGAACATTGTCCAGCACATGGTAAGTATTTTATAAAAATAGCTAGTGTTGTTATTGCTAAAGGGAGGTAAGTATGCGGATAGATGGAAGTCTGAAATCTCAGTCACCCCAGCATGCAAAGATGATGGCCGTGGCCCTTAGCTTTTGCACCATTCTCCTCCACATTAAACCAGTTGCTCTTGGGTCAGTTCTGGTTCATGGAGACCCCATGCATGTCAGAGTAGATCTGCTCCACAGGGTTTTAAGTTGCTGACTTTTTGGTAGTAGATCGTCAGGACTTTCTTTTGTGGCAACTCTGGATGGACTTGAACCTCCAACCTTTCAGTTCATAGCTTAGTGTGTTAGCCATTTGCACTTACCTGTCTTGATCCCACGGAAATTAGTACTTCTAGTAAAGCTTTAGGCAGTCCCTGATGTACATTGTATGTTTCTTATACCTTCTCTCAAAATTAGGGACCAGCACTGTAGTCAGCAGGGCAGATCTGGCCCACTCACTGCCTATTTTTGTATGGCCCCCTAAGCTGAGAATGAGTTTAACATTTTCAAGTCGCTGGCGGGGGGGTGGGGGTGGGGAGTGGGGAAGAATAACATTTTTTGACACGGGAAAATTATATGAATTCAAACTTCAGTGTCCTGTAAGGAAAGTTTTATTGGAACCAACCATATTTATTCATTTATGTATTTATGTGGCTGCTTTTTTATGTGACGACAACAGTTAAGTAGTGGCAACCAAGACTAAATGAAAAAGGCTAAAATATTCACTATCAGTCCCTTTATAGAAAAGTTTTCCTAACTCTGCATTAAATAGTACTATTCAATGCTTTACATTCTCATATAATTTTTTGGTAGAAAATAATAGACAGTTGCTTTTCATTTAATTTCTCCTCTTAGTTTTTCTCTGCAAATGACTGTTCTCCTCTTAAAGATTATCATGTGTATGGATATGAATCATGAATTCAGAGCTTTCCTGGACACTCTATCTTTATTGTGAAGAATAGCTTTAAGATATCAGAAATTTTCACCTGCTATTGATTCTTATACTGTGTGTATTGTTACTGGGAAAGAATGTTTTTTCCTGTTATAGAATCTTCAAATTGAAAGGAACTTCAAGGTTATCTAGTTGTGCTTCCTGACATTGTAGATGAAAGGGGGGCTCCAAGAGGTGATGTGAATGACCCATTGTTACAGGGACAGCTCATCAGTTAATTGAGACTAAAATATACTTCCAAGATCTGCCTCCACCTCCATTTCTGCCTTACCAGCCCCATCTCCTGCTTAATCAGTTGTCAAGACCAGCTGTGTGTTGATATAGTAGACCCTGTAGATACAACAACAACAACAAGTAGATACAAGTATATGCTAAAGGGTTTATATCTTCAGAATATACTCATACTTGGGTGTTGGTGGTCCTGCCTCTCCTCTGGATAAGTCTTTGACAGGCTTTGGTAAGCAGTTATAGAATAAAAGACATTTGGGAGAAATTATTTCTGTCATTGGACCCTTTTGGCCCTTCTTTGAATGCTGGCCATATGGGGCACAGAGTTGTCACCATAGAAATGGAGAACACATTGTGGGCATTGTGGGCCCAGGAAGCAAACAAACAAAGAGATCCAGGTACTTAATCATAATTGACTCAAATCTTTTCACCCTTTCCATTCTTCATTTCTCTTCCCCTAGACCAGGGGCTCTCTTTAACTTCTAGGTATCATCTATAATGAGGCCCTGAACTCTATGGGAGAAAATTGAGCTGAAAGAACTGGGCTGATTATTTAAAAATGTTAAAAAGGGAACAAAATGTGAAACAAGGTATTTACAATCTGAAAATCACCTCTATTCATCTTTTCAAGGAATGAGATGATTTTTCTGGTTGTTTTTACTTTCTAAGGTAGTCTCCTACAACCATAATTTGAATCACATGAGAAAAGTAAATGTGCTGTACTACCATTGGGAGCTTAATTAATATTTTGATTTAAAATGAAAATTGTTCAGTTTGATGTCACTGGCTTGATAAGCAAATATTATCCATTGACCCTCTCCCCTCTGATGTACTCGCACTCTCCTATTTCTTGGTTTAAAACCTATACCTTTGATTCTCTGGTATCTTTCCATCATTTTGATTCTTTTCTACTGCATTGCCCTTCAAACTTTGAAGCTCACTCTGGTGCTCTAACCACATACACAATTACCATGTTTCATGACCTACCCAGTTATTATTCTTCAACAATAATGAATCATCCATTTTGAAAAATCTGAGGCTAAAGTTTAACCAGGCATTGTCCATTTGTCCATTTTATTACTATTTATTCTGCTTTCCCACTAGGTAAAATAAATAACCCAAGGCTCCTGTCACTGAGAGTCTTTTAAAATCTCTCTTCATGTGAAGTTAATCTATTTTATCTAAATTCAGCTTCATATTCTCTGTCAGTAGTCTCATATCTGTCCTTCCAGGGCAATCGCTGTCATTCAGACTTGTACTTCATAGTATGGCCCATGATTTAGAAGCTTGGAGCTATTATGTAGCGACCACCCAGACTAATAATAGGAGAAGGGATATGGTACAGAGACAGGCCTTGTGTGTAGGGGATAGAGTGCTATACCAGGTTGCAAGAGTCTGGATTTGAGACCTGGCTTTCTTATGTCACTCTAGCAAATTTCTCCCTCGTTAGTTTCATATCTTTGTCTGGTATGATGAGATTGAATTAGATGGTCTGGGGGCCTTTACAGGGGTAACGTTTTCTGAATGTCGAAGTGGGAATGAGAAAAGAGAATTGGAAAGAGGGGTGTGGTTTGGGGGTATTGTGAAGGTAAAAAGAGACTAGATGAAAACTATAGAAAGAGAAGTTAAGGTGTAAATTTGGAAAAGTATATTTGGAGTGTCATCACATAATAAAGGGATCCTTTAACAAAGTGCTTGGGAGCTACACTATTGAGCTGTTCTTGCTCCATGCTATCTACATGCTCATTAATGGAGAATTCCAACTGTACAAGTGAAAACTAGTAGCGATACAGGTTTGGAATGACTGTCACCGTAGCATAACTCAGAAAAATTAGGAAGAAAATGAGAAATGAAAAGGGGTAATGTATAAAGTCATGCAGAACTATTTTAAACTTAAGGAGTCTGCTAATGGAGAAATAAGGTGAAGTTAGAATCATCTTACTAGAGCAGAATAGAATCAATAATGTAGTTTTTTCCTTAGATGAAATAGGCAGTGTTTTCTTGAAATAGTAAATTTAATGTTTAATTTGGATAAGATTTATAGCATGTTTTGAGTTAAAGAACTCTTGGTACAATCTGGTTTGTCTCTGATTCCACAGTGAGGAGAAGCATCTGAACACACACTCCCTCCTGTTTCTTTTTATCATCACTATTAGTTCCCCTAAGCCTATGGCTTGCAGGGCCTGCTCAAAAGATTTTTCTTCTCAGTTTGGGTGTTGCTGATAAATGTCCTTGAGAGTATTCCACGAGGGAACAGGTTTTATTTGATGAAAACACAGTTTTCTCCTTGACTTTTTTTGCACATGGGTGAAGCAGACCTTTGAGGAAGCTGATAAGAATGGTGATGGCTTACTGAATATTGAAGAGATACACCAATTGATGCATAAACTAAATGTCAACCTGCCCAGAAGAAAAGTCAGACAAATGTTTCAGGTGCGTTTTTGCAATCACTTTGGCCTTATGTAAAATATGCATCAGAGGCTCCTGATGTACTTTGTATTAAAAAGGCTGTTTTGTTTTGCTGAGAACTAATATTACCTGATCTGTTCTATTTTTCTTTGAATGTCTCTTTGAACAGAGACATTTGCTTCATCAAGGAAAAAACTTCATGAATTTAAAACACATTAACAATTTCACTTTCTGAAATGTCTTTTTGTTGTTGTTGTTTTTAGAGAGTAATTATAAGCATTTTACCTGACACTTAAATAGTGTAGTAAATTTGTTCAAGACACAATAATATGTTCTCTGCCTATCTCCCAGAGCTGTTGTGAGATCAAAATAAAGACTAAGTAACATGAGGAAGAATAGCACTTCTCTAAATCCTCAGGAGCCCTCTGTTTAGTTTCAGAGGAGTCTGTTTCAGATTTAGAATCTGGGATGCTTAGAAATGCTATATCGCTCCTACCATTTAGGGAGTGCTTCAGAAATTATAATCAACTGCTTGTTGATGTTAGATGAGGTGCTCTTTCTCTGGTGGTAATTGAGCCCAAATGTACTGGACCCAAATGTATTCTGTGGTGTCTAGCTTGGACTATAGTTAGCCTCCAAGCTAAGAAGCAAAAATGTGTTCCATTAAGTTTAAGTCTGGCCAAAGACAATGTTAGACTATTAGTAATTAGTAGAATATTATTTTACAAATTAATTTATTTATAGGCAAGTAATATATATGCATAATCCATGTTCTGCAATGATTTTCTATTCTAGGTGACAAGGCTAGTGCTGCACATGTGAAAATAAGCGGAAGAGGCTATATTTCACTATGTTCATTGTTTCATACTTCATTTGTTTTCTAACCACTTCTTCTTAGAGGTGGTAAAGGCAGAAGCAACACGGAGTCTGAATTGCGACAATGAATGACAGAGGGAGTCTTGTTTGGTTCTGTGACCCTAAATATGATCTTGTCCTTGGGCTGTTTTGTTTTGCTGAGAACTAATATTACCTGATCTGTTCTATTTTTCTTTGAATAATAGAGGCATTTGCTTCATCAAGGAAAAACTTCATAAATTTAAAACACACTAACAATTTCACTTTCTGAAATGCCTTTTTGTTGTTGTTCTTGTCGTTTTCAGAGAGTAATTATAAGCATTTTATCTGACACTTAAATAGTGCAGTAAATTTGTTCAAGACACTTAGGACAATAATATGTTCTCTGCCTACCTCCCAGGGCTGTTGTGAGAATCATTATAAAGACTAACATGAAAGAGAATAGCATTTGTCTAAATCCTCAAGAGCTCTTAGTTGGAGATTGTTTGCACTGTGGGGGACTTGATCCCTTTGCATTGGAGGGCAACAGGAGGAAAGGAAAAAAAGGAAAGGAGAAAGGAATGTGATATGCTATATAAGGGACCCCAGAGATGGAGTGAGAGACTTTAAAAGAAAAATGACTTGTCATGAACAGAGCAACCAGAGGGTGTTTTACTTTTTCCTGTGGTGAGCGCTATCTCATAATCACTCCCTTTTCAAAGGAGTTTACAGTACTGTAGAGGTAATTGCTAAGGTTGGGCAATCAACTTCTGTAGCAATACTGCCTCGGAAACCCAAGGAGGGGTTGCTATGATGACTGACTGGCAATGAGTTTGGTTTTTGGTTTAAGGTATTTGTTTATCTCTAATGTATCCAGTATTTACATGGTAAACAAGGAAGTGTTTATACTTATGTTAATTGTCTTAAAAATTCAAAGCAAATACTTTAGATAAGTTTTAGGACATTAAGAGTCTCTGAGGAGCTCTGGTGGAACAGTGGGTAAGGCATTCAGCTGCTAACCAAAAGGTCAGCAGTTTGCACCTGCCAGCAACTCCATGAGACAAAGATGAGGCAGTCTGCTTTTATAAAGATTTACAGCCTTGGAAACCCTGTGGAGCATTTCTACTCTGTCCTACAGGGTCTATATGAGCCAGAATCAACTCAGTGGCAGTGGGTTTTTAGTTGGTTATTTATTTATTTATTTTGTGACCTTAGATTTAAAAACTTGTCAAGACAGAAGTGACTAGGTAAGCAGCTGTGCCTGTTGTGTGTTGTATGAAGGACTTTTCCATCATGGGCCTTGCTTCTAGCTGATTCTGTAAATGCTCACAATGGGAGTGATAGGACCAAGCATCTGAGTGCTATTTTAGGAACATTATCCTCTTGACTGTATTGCTGGTAGACATGAAAGTCTTCCTAGAATTTATTTCCTTTGCCTTTTTGGTGCAATGGATGATTCAATTTTTTTTTAAAGTAGTCTTTTGAGGTATAGATAGCTGCTTTTGAAGTCTTTAGATGCTATTGCTTAAACTTTAGAGTTTTACTCTGCTTAGTTGGTTAGGCATTTACAAGAAAGTTTTGAGAAATGTTTTATCTCCATCGAGAACTACGTATTTTGAAACAAAGTCATGACAGAAACATGGCCATTAAATCCAGTTCTTTAGAATGTAAAGCATGTCCAATCAAGAGCCTCACATACCAAAAATGTTCATGTTCTACCGACCAATCTATCTCTACCTTTAAAATGACAGAAGACAGCAGCAATCAGCCTCCCACAGAAACTGTGTATGACCTGAATACTGGTAAAATACTTTGCTCATAACTAACCAAAAAAAACAAAACAAAAAAAAAACCCAAACTCACTGCTGTTGAGTTGATTTCGACTCATAGTGACCCTTCCTTGGGTTTACGAGGCAGAATCTCTAAGAGAATAGATTGCCCAGTCTTCTTCTGAGGAATAGCTGGTGGGTTTGAACTTCCAGCCTTTTGGTTAGGTAAAATAAATAAATAAATAAAACCCTTTGATTTTTCAAAACCATGTTTAAAATGACATAACAGTTGTCTACTCAATTTTCTACCTAAAGATATGTTATTTCCAAACACATATATTACTTTGTTGACTTATAAATTTAGTATAGACAGAAAATGGTTTGTACCATGTTTATTCTTTCTAGTTTGTTGAAACTTTCTTTGCAGCCTAATACATAGTCATTTTTTGAGTTGGGATTGACTTGTTAGCAGTAGGGTTTTTTTTTAAAATAATATCCTATGTGTATTTGAATATGTATGTGAAATATGTACTAGCCTTTTTATGGTAAATATTATACCCACTCCTCACTTAATGATATGGTTAGGTTCCAAAGAACAGGTCATTATGTGAAAATCAGTGTTATGCAAAAATGGAGGCTGATATAACTGCCAAACCAATGAGAATCATGGAACAGCCAAGTTGACACATAACCTTAACCATCACTGCCAGCATTACTCTTGCCTTGCACCTCAGTGTTTATTATTGCCAGACATATGTCGTTAATGCACATTACAGTAGAATAGTAGGTTGTGTACAATTGTCCTAAATGTGAAATGTTGGGTAACTGGATAGCTTATAAATAAAGAGTAGATATATTTCCTAGTATTGAATATCTATATGTCTAACTCTTCTATTTGTCGTGTTTCTCTACGCCCCTTTCAGGAAGCAGATACAGATGAGAATCAAGGAACTTTGACATTTGAAGAATTTTGTGTTTTTTACAAAATGATGTCATTGAGACGGGATCTTTATTTGTTGCTCTTGAGCTACAGTGACAAGAAAGATCATCTAACTGTGGAAGAACTGGCTCAGTTCTTGAAAGTGGAACAAAAGGTATTTAAATTAGAGTACTGAATTTATGTTTACTTAGAAGTAGTTGTGAAAGATATTGAATGAGTTTATCTTGAGGTTGTGCATAGTTAATACTTGAAATTTAAGATGAGAGATAAGAATCACAATTCCACAATCTTATCCCTGATTAATTTAAAACATATTCCTAGGAGGTTTAAGAAGAAATGGTAAATTGAACACTAGTTTATATAACTTTTTTTTATCTTAAATATACTGAGTATGGATATGCATATATTTCCCCAGACAAATGAATGTTAACTTACAAGTTTTATTTTACGTACAATGGTAATATGTTTTTCTTAGTAATAATATAGCTAGGTACTTATTAGTTTAACTATGGTTTAGTCCTTAACTGGAAATGTAGTTTTTGTTGTTATTAGGTGCTGTCAGGTCTGTTTCAACTCATAGTGACTCTGTGTACAACAGAAGAAACACTGCCTGGTCCAACACCATACTCAGAATTGTTGTCATGCTTGGGCCCACAGTTGCAGCCACTACACTATCAACATGGTGTGTCAGTCCATCTCGTTGAAGATTTTCCCCACTGTTGCTGAGCCTCTGCTTTACCTAGCATGATATCCTTCTCAGGGACTGTTCCCTTCTGACAACATGGTCAGTTATGCTAGGTGAAGCAATATACTAGGTCATTGATAATTCTGATAGGATATTGGCATTTTATGAGCTAAGAGAGCTATAAGTAAATTAAGCTTTGATAAGCAAAGTGAATCCCTAAACTTTAGTTTGAATAAGACTTTAATTTTTAACATTATGTAAACTGAATGATGGTTAACAAAGCTAGTCTTATTATCACTGCTTTAATTTGGACTTCTAGCCTCCTAAATTGTAAAAAGGGGCTCTCATGGCATAGTGCCTAAGGCATTTGACTGCTCATCAGAAGCCTGGAGGTTCAAACCCACCAGCCAGTCCTTGGAAGAAAGATTGGGCAATCTACTTCCATAGTGATACTGCCTTGGAAACGCAAGGAGGGGTTGCAATGAGTTGGATCCAACTCAATGGCAGTGAGTTAAATTGTAAAAGAATAAATTCCTGTTTGTTACAGCTATCCATTTGTGGTATTTTGTGGTTATAGCAGCACTAGAGAACTAAGACATCAGGGATGAATGGATTGGTGGCTTTCAATTGTGAGTTTTTCTTCTTGGAGGTGATGACAAGAGTTGCTGATGTTATTAAGGAGATTTGCTTATGAATGGATACTTGAATTAGTAAGATTTCAGATTGATTCACTCTCTTATATGAACTTATACTACATCCTCGACATTGTTCTAAATTTTGGGAATGGATAAAACATACCCTCAGAGATGTCCCAATAAAAAGATACAGATGTTTTATAAATTTGAGGCCATGATACAATGGAAGAGAATGTGAGGAAGTGTTTAAGATTACCTGCATTTTGGCTTTTTCGGGCAGAGTAAAAATAATAATTGTTGTTCTGTTACTATTTCTTTTGAATCTTTTCTTTTTGTCACAAAAATACCTTTGTTAAGCTATCAAATATATTAGTAAAACATTATTATTAATTAATATATGTGTAATTATGCTCATTTAGTTTTAGTCTCAGTTTTAATTGAGATTTTGAAGTGATTTTCCATTTGAAAGTCTTTCAACACTTATAACTTTCTTTAATTTTACTCTCTCTTAACCTGAAATATTAATCAATTTTACTTGGCATAACTGAAAATCTTTTCAACAATCATAATTTGAGTTAGTAATGGCTTGTAGATTCGTAAGTAGAGAAAGTTTCACTAATCTGCCCTGATTAAGATGGATAAACATTTTTATAGCATTTAAATGCAGTTTTTGATATTTTTCTCCTATATAGATTAATTTGATGATTAAATTCTGCTACCTTTTACTTTCTCCACACTTATTCAATCTATATGCTGAGCAAATAATCCGAGAAGCTGGACTATATGAAGAAAAACGTGGTATCAGGATTGGAGGAAGAATCATTA